TGGATCTTCTGAGAGCCATTCAAGGTTTATAAAACTCACTTTCCAGGTGGTCAATATACATTAAGTTCTCCCAATCGTAGTATTCCATGTGATGTACACCTGACATGCCAAAAATGTTGTTGGGCGATTTTGAACTGGATACAAATAGCAGACGAAAATGTGTTTACAAAATAAAAATAGTTCGGTAGCCAATGAAAATACCATGTTCATTTGCATATCGACCGTGAAAATACCGAAAACATTATTGCATGGGTGATATGCAAATTAGTTTGGGCCAAAATAAGTGACTGTCTAAAAGTACCATTACTGTTGTTCAAATTTTATTTCACTCGGCAAGTATATTCATGTACCCCAAGGGGAAAATATCGTACTTCTAAGTATTGTTTATTCCGAAAAACTGTACTCCTTAAGGGACTACTTTGTTTGCTCTCAGACCTCATTTGCATATGGGTTGTGGAAATACCGATTTTGATTTCAGGGACGAATCAAAATAAACTGCAGTACATATGTAATAATATATATTATTACTTGATATTCCTATAAGCAAACATTTTGATCACATCATAATCTACTCTAGCTACCTAAATGTTAATAGTAATAAATAATACGTTCTAAGTACAGATATCATTTGTATATATAAAAGGATGGAGCAGGTTTTTTTGGAAAACCATTTACTGGCGAAAAAGCTGAAACAAATAAACAATGCTTAATGAATGCTTGCCAGTTGCTACTTCTAGGTGGGCATGCTGTGAGATTCTTTGTAGGGTATACAATGCTTGTTTGAATGATGGTGGTTTATTCCTCTACATGGCATGTGTTAAGGCCGTCATAAACTTTTTCGAACGCTTTCGACTACTAGATGGATGTTGGATGATAACTATAACTATAACGGTAAGCTTATTTTCAGGCTGATGTAGAGATTCTTTCCTGCATGGTTTGACCAAAAAGCTTTTTTTAGAGAATGTGAGATTTCGCAAAGAATCTACACTCTCTCAAGGAGTCAAGTTCCGATAGAGTCTTACTAGCTCTCAATATTAATGAGGTACTAGCCAGCTTCTTTGACATTATTCTGGAGAGGCCTGTGAAATAGAGAAAGAGGTTCCCGTTGGATGATCTGGTTGAAAATTGCATGATATCAACTACCGAGGAGCTCAAGTCGACGTGCAAAATGAAGTTGACAACTGCCTTTTAGGGGCACTCTACACATCATATCTCCTGCAACAGAAGATAATGTCTTGAATCTCAAAACACAAAACAGATTAAAATTTATATATCCGACACCCTCAAAGCGTCCATCAACACATCAATGTAGACGTTTTCAAAGTTGGCAACATCCTTAAGCATTTTGTACATGCCTACTGCTGCAATGCAGCTGGTCGAGTCACAGTGTTTACTTGCTTACAGAGACACATCTGCCAGCTGTATGTCTCTCGACCATCACCACCAAGTGAAGCTGCCATCCCATTATATTGCTGGTAAGCACACCATTGGCTGAAATATTCCTTCACTATAATTAACAAAACTGGCAGCAGGGTAATAATGCTCCACACTGTCACTCTTGTGTATGCTGATCTTGCAGGAGCACGTGACGTGATCGTAGAGGATAGGAAGGCGATTTCCCAACCCCTGCCAGCTCTAGGGGTGTCCATATCATTGTTATGCCCATTACTAACAAAATACGTACATCTCAAGTTTCAGCAAAAATCTAGTAAAGATTTGACTATTTAAGAGATGAAAATGGGACGTTCATAGTTTCGTAGTTTTAAATGTTGCAAGAGTGACCTGATATTATCTCACCACCGCAGTTTACTTCATCACTTTGGTCTCCACAGTGATCGAATCCATCACATACTGTTATCATTGAAGTACATCTTCCATTATCACATGTGAAGTGGTTGTCACTAGAACATCCTGCAGTGACAATAATGAGTAATGTAAAGAACATTGTACGATTGCATTGCATTGCATGATCACAATCGAAAATCGAATTGAAATATACTTACTGCAGTCAACTTCATCCGCCATATCACCACAATCATCATTTCCATCGCACAATTTGGTGCGGTTTATACAAAACCCATTAGGACAATCAAAACTCCAATCTCCGCAGGCTGCTATGAAAGATGAATTCTGAATAAACATTCTTAAGGTACTAAATGGACTATATGCATACTCTTTAATTATAACAAATTTATTTTTTCTTATCTGGATGGCACGTTTGCCGGGTAAAATAACTGTTCTCCTTCCGGCACAAGTAAGTATAATTCTAAATACTTACATTCACAATTTCGTTCATCTGAAATGTCGTCCACGCCGCAATCCAAACGCCCGTCACAGACATACCCAATATATAGACATAAACCGTTGTCGCATAAAAATCTGTTCTGTTCGTCACAAGCTAAAATGTAAACAAATGCATTTGATTGACTGTTATGAACATTACTTAAATAGCGATAACTATAACAAAATGTAATAACTCAGTATATTGTGGAGTGCCCAAATATATGTCATACTAAATGTCACTGTGTTGATTCTGCTTTTTATCCGCAATCCTTCAAACTTTCGTTTGATAGTCGTAGTTACGCCGTCGTGCGACAAATTGATATTGTGAGAAGTATATACATACTGCAATTTATTTCATCGCTCTTATCTTCACAGCTTGTGTAACCATTACACACAGAATATTGACTGACGCACTGTCCATTTGCACACTGAAAACCATAGCAACTTGATGCTAAAAATAAGAAAAACAAAATCCGATCACTTTCGTCAATGTTGAATCCAAATGAAACATTTGGTCAAATGATACACATAATTGAATATATCCCGTACATAATAACCTATAGCTTACTAAGTGTAATACAATCCCCTCTAAAAATAAATCAGTCTGGTATTCTCGTAAAACACTTTCAACCAATCCAATTTACCATCACAATCAAGAACCGCTGTCATATACATAAACATAGCAAAATGTTCTCACCACAGCCATATTGATCGCCTTCATCACTCCAATCACCACAGTCGTTATCACCATCACAAAGCTGCCAGTCATATATGCACACTCCATTGTTACATAGTACTTCGTTTGTATAATTACAAGCTGTTAAAATAATGTGCATGTAAACCGTTATGTCATGCTTTTGTATCAAAACAAAATAAACCAAAATGGTTACCAGTAAGCCATTTTGGTAAAAACGAAAATGGCAGATATTTCAAGACTGGTCTACAATTTATAGACTTACATATGTCTTTCATTAACAAAACAATTTACGAGCAATTAACAACATATTGAACAGATTTAAGTGATTATATTGCAGACAGTTTTAGATCAGAGAAGCATTTAACACAATTCGATAAATAATTATTAAAAACGTCATTTTTTTCATAGCAACAATCTCTAGATCTTCTCCAACACTATGAGTGGTTCTTGTTTTCATGGCAACCGAGTCCAGATCAAAATATAATTGCTCGGCCAAGGGTAAACATTCATTTTATAAAAAAATTGACGTAATATTTTGCGGGCAATGAAAAATCCATGACAACTAGATACAGATTTTTCCAAAAACAAA